TCAGAAATTATGCATGCGTGTGGGTACAGACAGAAATTACAAATGCAGCAGATTAATTTAGGAAAGAAGATCTTATCCTGACAGAAAAATGCATAGTAGACCCCATCAAAAGCTAAATAAAAGACAGAAACACTCAGGCAAAATTTCTGACAGGCAGAATTTGTCAGGTGGTGGGCTGGTTCTTCCATTCTTTGAAAGTTTCAAGTGAATGTAGCCTGTCTTTCTGTGAGGATTCCTGGCCAAGGTGTCAGCAGATGTCTAAATCTCACCTGGTTCCCAGAGCTCTTTAGCTTCCCTTCAGCCTCCCTCCATTCCTGACTCCTGCTTTGCTCAACCCTGACTTCTCAGCAGGGTTTCTTGCTGCCAGAAAGAACAGGCCTTGCCAGCAGAAACTACTTTCTCATCAAATCCTATCTTGCAGCACAAATGCTGTGACCTGTCCCGCTGCTTCCAAGGCCTCCCAAATAGTTCATGTAGAGACACCACCTCTGGAATGGCCAACAGCCCAAGGTGGGAGCAGAGGATGTGCTAAACTGCACATGTGATGCAGTGTGGAACAGGGAGGGCAAGTCCACTGACCCCCCTGGCTCTGAGTTCTGTCCCTGAGGATGCCATGGCTTCAGCTGGCTTGGCCAACTGCTATCAACATAAAATAATATTAATAACAACCACAACAATATTTAAAAATATGTTCTGGCTCAACCACAAGACACGGGCTTGACACAGCAACTGATATATGCAATACTGTGGCCTGTGTTAGACAGGAGAAGAGGCTGGAGGTGTTTTCCTGGTGGTTTTGTCTGTAAAACTCTAGTGGATATCACAGTGGATTTCATTAGAAACCATCAGCTCAGTTGTTGTGGTTACTGTTGGGTCTCCTGTTTTGGTTCTGCTGGATGGAGAACAAGGCAGAGCTCGTGCATGGGGATTCATGGCATCCCCAGAACATTCCCTTTTCACTTATTGTTTGAGGTTCATATCTGCTTTTGCCACTGAGGATCTGGGCAGTATAAATTAGCCAGGGAATAAAAAAATAAAGGTTTAATGCAAAAGGTTGGCATTTTTCTGCCTTGCATTCTAGCCTTGCCTTGGACAGACTTCCCATTGGGCCTATAGATGCAATTTTGGGCTTTTGTTTCCTGCCTGTGGAACAAGGAAGGAATAACAGCGTGTTTCAACCTCGTGGGTGCATTGGGAAGACAAATTCAGCCTTGGTTTTGAAATACACATATACTGTGGTAATTAGAACAATACAATAGCAAATAAACAGAGGAAGAAGAAAAGTACCTAACCCACAAAAGGATTTGGTTGATGTGCAGCAAATGAGATATGGGACCACAGACTACGTGGTGAAGTTAAGAGAAATATTGAGCAGCTGCTTTGCTACACAGTTGTACAAAATGAAATGACAACCTGCAGGAAAAACAGCACAGGCCCCTTTACTACCCAAGAGGGCAGAGCTAAGGTTACAGGGACTGTAACAGTGTTGTCATTTCCTTACTCCCAGGAGCTGCGTTTTCCAACTTGATGGCTTTCCTAATGTAATTGCTTTTTATGCGATGATTTTTTTAGAGCCTGATTCTTGCTGGAGTAACTCAGGAGGAACCCCGACAAAGCCAAGCAAGTGATCTCAGTGCAAAAATTGTAGGGGCCACAGTGGAATTGGGCATGCTCAGTCCATAACCTCCTTCTCCAAATCCTGCAGCAAATGCCCCATGCTAAAATGGCAAGGAGATATCAGATGAAAACACAAAACAATGACAAACAGTGCATTTTTCAGTAGCCACATCATATTATGTCACTGATGTCAGGTTGAGTTATATTGGTCTGCTTTTCATTATGTTGTGTTATGCCTTTTGACATAATGCAACACACTGTAAGTAACATAAAGTGACCTCCAAGTATAAAAGAGTACACAGTTTTTGTCAGATTAGATAGTGGCTATGAATTCTGAGAGAGGGAGGGGTAACTCAGAGCAGGGCGTTTGGAGTCAGTGTCCTGAACAACAAATGCACAGAACTTAATTAACAGTTACAGCAGCCCTGGCTGTTTCCAAAATGGTCTGTGTGCCTCTGCTCAACAGAGAGAGGAGATTCACAGTGGGATTTGCACTGTTTAATTTGTTTAAAATTCTGCAGAGGCAGCTGTAGCAACTCTCTCTTTCCTGTACCTGTACTGCAGGAGCTCCATATACAGTGAACATAAGACTCACTTGCCTGAGATTTGCCTTGTTGCCAGGCTCCAAAAGACAGTCCTGAGACCAAGCTTAGCCAATGGCCTTTCTGAGCAGCACTGAGTAACCTGTCCTCTGAATGGAATCAGCTGCTAAGAAAATAACTGTAGGGAGAAAAGAAAAGGGAATCACCGTGGATCTAAAAAGAAGGCGAGCTCCTCATTAATTTAAGGTGATTAATTTAAGGAAAAGTTGGTGGTTCCAGGGAGGTTGTTTCTCTGGAGGGCTTGAAATCCACCTTAGCTTGGCAGTTCTATCTGGTTGCTTTGCTGGAATTAGCTGATGTTCTGCCTTTAGTCCTTGGTCTACACTCCTGACCCACGGGTTGCACAACTGCCAGGACTCGCAGAAAGTGGAGTCCTTTGATATGAAGGCCGGAATACAGCTCTCCTAAAAAGGGGGATGGTTCCTACCTGTTGGCAGGATATGGAGGATTTCAGTTCCCACACACGTTAAACTGTCACATGTCTTGTGAAGGCATCCACTCAAAGGCAGGATGCAAAACTCTCTGAGTGCAGGAGAAGTGTAAAGCTGTGGTATGAAGTTCCTATATAACAAATGTTACATTTCCTATGTAGCACATTCAGCATTAGTGTTTTTTGTGGCCCTGCTGAACTAGGAGAAGAGGCCACTTTTCATTTGGCACCCACCTGGCATCCCATCTCACCACAAGAATTGTCATCAAGTCCTGTCATCTGCCTTTTCAGACAGTGAATGTTGTAGGGATCAGAAACATTTTCAAGATCAGTCTCAAAGATGGAAGTTGCACAGGCACCTGAATGCATTTGATGTGGGTTTCCTGAGCAGTAATAAACATGGAATTTCACTTAAAAAGGTGTTTTAAGATTAAAATTTAACATTGTTAACAGGAATAGAGTGTAATATTTTGTGTGAAAAGGGTGCCCAAGTGAGCAGCACAGGATATCAGAATCCAGTGTGTCACATGCATTTTCTTTATCATTTCTCATTTAGAAATGTAGCATAAATTAATATCTGCTTAATTGCCAAGTGTGCAGCATTCCTTTAAGATGTGTATGGGATGCTGTCCTTGTTCATTAGGGCATTAACTGTTAGAGGATGAGCAGTTCCTTCCCCTGAACACTGAGCAATAATCCAGCTCCACCCTCCATCCTGCCAAGAGACCTGTGCAATCAGACCCCTGTGACACCGACACCCACAGTGCTCTGCAGGACTCCACAGAGCTACCTTTAAGTATCATTTTGCAGCATCAGAGAGTCCAGAATTAAACATGAAACACTCTTGTTAAGTTCATAAAGAGAGCTGTTACCCTGTGCCTGAGCAACTCCCAAAGAAAGGAGTGGGACACCAGGCTGTGCTTGTGGCCAGGCACACACAGAGACTCCACACTGGGAAGTCTCATTGAGATTTGCAGCCAGGCTGGATCTCAGGAGACTTCCTATTATTATTTTCTTTACTAGTAAATCATTATGTTGTCTCCTTCTCAGCACAGAGAGTTCAAATAAACCTGTCCCTGTGACAATCTGATTCTCTGAAGGAGTGTCCTGTTCTGTTGAGTCACGTGAGAGGAAAATACAAAGAAGTAGAAAGACAGATCAAAAAGGGGTAGCAGAAAGAGCCCTGGAGGCAGACTTAAGTTTGGTATTTAATATTTCAGGTAAAATATTCACTTAGCATCAATTATCTTGTTGGGTTCTTTTTTTTTTTTCCCCCAAATGAAATTGCCTTCTGAATCAGCCAGCTCTCTAATTACCAGATTGAATGATTGAAATTTTTAGGGCAATTAAATTCAAGCCTTTCTTTTTCAGTCCTTATGTTATTCCCCCCCTTCTCTCCCTCCTTCCTCCAGTCTGGAGCCTTCCTATAATTTGGAGGCAGTTGCAGAAGCAAGCAGACCTTTAAAGCCAAGATGTATGTCTCCCTTAATTCCTCGGTGGATTTGTTTTATAGACTAGGCAGAGAGGGTTCTGGTCTCTCAGGACATGTGCATTACAAACACACAGCTTTGTGTGGGTTTTATCCTAACATGTCATTGGAAGGATTAATTTAATATAGAAATTCTGTGAAAAGACAAAGATCAATGTGGAAAATACACGTGCTATTAGAAAATGCCTGCAGATCAAATTGGAAAACTAATGAGCAAATTGATGATAATAATGATGATTGATGATCTACTGGATAAGAGAAAACAAATCTCCCAATGAAACAGTACAGAGGTCTGTTAACAGAGCTGTTAGGACAAACTCATGAAAAGATAAGTATTCTGCCAAGAAAGGACACAGAATTCCCAGGATGAAATCCTGGGCCCACTGGACTCAAAGCTGCTGCTCATTTGTGTGTCTTGTTAGGATTAGAGCACTGATCCTGCAGAACCAGTAGCCATATTCTCAAATATAAGTATGTGAGCTATTCCATGGATTCCAGTGGGACTATCCCATCCTTGAAGTTCAGTGGATGCTTAACAGCTTTGCTGAGTCAGGATCTGACCCAGTGAACATGATAAATCTTTATCACAGTGAACCTCTGAAAGTGTGGAAGATTTTCCTCAAAAACCTCGCTCTGAGTCTTTCAGATTTCCAAACCCAATCCAGTGCACAAACCTGGGGCTGCTCTCCAGCAGGACCCAGGGATTTATTTTCATGCTCTGTTCCACTGAGCATTGGTGTAATGTCACTGGAGTCAGAGCAATGAACACAGCGAGTATCCACAGCGATTTCACTAAAGCCAGATGAATTGTATTCTGCTTATTTATTACTTCATTATCCCTGTAGGTGTTCAAGGTGCTTCACAACAGCTAAAGCAGTCCTTGCCCTGAAGAGGATGCAGTCAGATCTAAGATTAGAGATGACAGCACTGCAAGGGGCTGGACCTGGAGAAAGAGCAAGGTCCTTGTTCAACCAGAAACATAAATGCTCGTCTGTCTCAAAGTTCAGTGGATTGGTTAAGCACTGCCATGGCTCAAGGTTGGACTGATTGATGTAGAGAAGTATTTTGGATGCAGGTTCCTGAAAAACCTCCTGTTTCTGCTGTTTTCAATGCTCTGATGTTCTTGCATAGATACTCTCACAGACACAGATTAGACCTTTGGGAAATATGATTTCATGTCTGTGGAATTATGACATTTCATTCTGATTAATGTTTTGGCCCATTGTGATAATGCCAGTGGGATGGAATGTTATCCATTAATATCCATGAGCATTCCCTGGGACACACAGCCCTTGTGGTTCCTCTGCTGCCTTCTGTTTCCTCCTCCTCTCAAGGCCATATTCATCACCAAACATTTCTTTTTTCATGCTCTGAAGTCCATGACTCTCCACCAGTTTGCAGTGTCTTGGGATATGGCCTCTGGCCTTCAGGCATGTTTGACAGATGCAGAGAAAAGAGACCTGACCCGAGTCACTTTATTGCCCTCTGCAGTGCTTTTCCAGCCTTCCTTCCAGGGGTAGATGCACCTCTGCAGAACCTCAGTCATTTTTCTGGAGCTCTGAATGCCTGCGCCAGACTCTGGAGCTACCAAAGCAGCCTGGATTTATTGCTGGTTTCCTCTGCATTTTCTCAAGGACTGTGTTTCTCTCTCTGCTTTTTCAGGTTGCCACGTCCACTTAAAATCTTGCAGTGCGTGCCCCGTGTTCATTATTTAGCAGCACATGGGAAAGCCCCCTCAGCTCCAGCTTGCTGGGAGTGCTGTACAATTGTATCCCAACTGCCTGCTCCACTTATCTGCTGCATTATTTCTGTGAAAGCAAAAGCTGTGCATGGAACAGATGCTTGGAATGGTATTGGGATCCAATTACTGCACTTTTCCAACCTTACATCTCTTGTCTAAACTTGGAGCAGGCATATTTTTGTTCCTTGGTGACACTATATAAAGAGACAATTGGCATTGTGTTTGCTGGCTGACTGGTTGGCAGAGAAGAGGTGGCAGGAACAGCAGCACCATGGTAGGTTTTATTCTTTCCACATCTCTCTGGGTTTTTTTGTCTGTATTTCTTTCTGACTCTAAATTCAAACAGAGCAGGAATGATCACACTGGACTCCAGGAAACCTCATTTAGTATCACATCCAGAATGAAGATGCATCCCATAGAGTGAGCTGTGAACTTCCATGGAATACTTTAATAATTTGTTTAACTAATGGGTGAGGCAGAGAACACAGATGCACTTGCTGAGGGGAAGAGCTCGTGCATGTCTGTCCCAGACTGACACAGCAGGGCAGCAATGCCTGGCACAGCTGCTGTGTGCCAGTGCTAAGGTCTGCTCTGGTGGGATGGGGAGTGAGGAAAGGGGTAGCTCTGGAATTGTGACTTCATTGCCCTTGAGACTGTAGAAATGTCTGTCTTGCCTTTGCCCCTCTCACTGTTGGCTTTTAGCTCTGGGACTCCAACACTTCTGCACCAGAGGTGCATTGATGTCATTTCAAGGAGCCAAGAAGAACTCCTGCCTAAGGAACAGTGGGCAGATTGGGCAGATCTTTGTCTTCTGCAAATTTGGAGGAATGACTACAACAATATTAAAAAAAAAAAAAATAGAAAAAGCTGGTGATTTTCTCTTTCCTTATTTTGCTCCTTTTTGCAGGTCCTTTTCAGGTTGTCTTAAAGCAATGCTGCCCAGTGGCTCCCTGGGGCTGTGGAATATTTGATTGTGGAGGACACCAGAGAGGGAGTTGTATATGAAAAGCTCTCTCAAAGCTCAGTTCAAACCTGATCCCATTTAAGCAGGTGACGAATGTGATCCACGTGCTGTTCTGAGCAGGATAAAACCCCACTCAAAGTCAATTCTAAAATCCATGCACCAAACCAGGTTCCAGTTTCAGCCAGTGCAAGCCCGGGGGCAGTGGTTTCACACTAATCCTGTTCTTCACCACTGCTTCAGAAGTGAGCAGTGCCTTGTGCTGATTGTGCCTCTTCAGCTGTGGATTTACAGGTTTCCCTTTAATCAGCCTCACTAAAGTCTCAGCCAGCCCTTTCGTGGGCTGGGGGGCCAGTGCTGGCTCTTAGGTTTTCTTTTTCCTTTTTTTTTCCCCAAAATTTTATTTATCAAGTTTTTTTTCCTTCCTGTTTAGTTCAATGACACACCAACACTCACTGATGTTTGAAGATATTTCAGGACATTCTGTGATGAAATGCTTAACTTAAGAGATGTGAAAATATAGTGAGAGACTTGTCTGTCTCCTCGCTCCCAGTTCAACTGATGATTCTCTGTGGTGGTTCTTTTCATTGTGCCTTTTGTTTTGGGAAAATATCTTCTGAGGTACCTTCCTATACAGGGACACATGAAACAGATTTAAAATGGAAAGAAAAAAATAGCCTTAATGAAAGAAAGCTGAAGAATATCTTTACATAAGGAAGTGATCATTTTTTATTAATCAGAGGGAAATGTATATGTAATTATGCTAGATGAACTCTGTGGGGAGGTTTTTTTCTCTCTTTATGATGTCTTAAGGGATTTATAAATATTACAGAGGTTTTATAGCATCATAATATTTCAGATGTGCAGTAAAGCTACTTTCAAAGGATTAGTGCAGACAAAGCAGCATAGTAAAAAATAATTACAAGTCAGCCAGTGCTACTAGGCTCTGACATCCAGGGCTGATGAGAGCGAGAGAGGCAGGGTTCAGGGAGATAATTTTTCTAACAAGAGCAGACCACACAAGTGCTGTGGAATGGAGTTCTGAGAACTGTCTCTGGCTCTCCGTTTATTCCAGGGAATTTCAGACAAGTTGGGTCTGTGATGTCTCCCCGCGTGCTGATGTCTCTGCTGATGGGGAGAAGGGAGGGGAGAGGCAGAGGGAAGCAGAGGGAAGCCTTTTTCTTATTCCCAAAACATTCCTGTGTTGATTCGGTTCGAGTGACACCTCGTAGCAGGTTCTGCCTGCCCCAAAATAGATGGCATTCTGACCAAATATCTTCTGATCTGCTGTTGGAATGTACCACCTGCACTGGGATGGGCACCAGCAAAGCTGGGTGACTTCACCAGCTGGACGGGAGCCAGTTGTGTGACCACTGTGTCTGTGTGTGTGCCTGAACACGTGTGTTCATGTGTGTGTCTGTGAGCGTGGACAGAGGCACTGTCCAGCTGTTCCCATGAGCATGCCAGAGAGGAAAAACTGTTGGGTGGGAAAAGCAGCTGCCCAATTTTTGGGTCGTGGAGGTCGAGGAGTCTGCAGTTGGAGACGTTATCCGAGATAAAGTTTGGGGAGGTAAAGCCTTCCCTCTGTGTGTCTGCAGGAGAAAAAGGAGGCTGGGATGGGGAAGGGGGTTTATGTGGGGCAAAGGAGAATGTTTAGTGTACGGGAGAGTGAGGCAGCCCAAGAGATTTTTGTACCTAGCAGGGATCAAAGGGGTGTGTGTGTGTCTGTGTGGGTGTGTGGGAGGCTGGGACTACACACAAAATGGAGTGAGGATGAGAAGGGAGGATCTGTTTGTGACTGTGGAGTAGGTAATAAAAAGATCTTCTGTTTCTCAGTTCTGATAACGTGGGGTTTATTTGAATGATCTGAGGCTGTTGCCTGTTTGAAATGCAAATTGTGCCCTTAGAGCAGTTTGTGTTTCTTACTCCTCTAGACTGTTCCCTCAAAGGCTTGTGTTTGGGTTGGCCTTGTGCTGCTCACCTGCCATGGAAACGACCTAAACCACCCTGAAAAAGGGTGGCTTGTCCATAGCTGGGATCTTTGGTGCAGGTGCAGTGCAAATTATCTCAGCAGAGAAAACTTGTGAGACAAAAATCACCAAAAATCCTGTCCAGTGCTGCAGAAATGCCTTGTCCAGGCCTGAGATGTAAGTTCTGATTCAGAGGCTGTATTCAACGATAACAAAAATTCAAAGACAGGAAATGTCAGCACTGGGATCCCAGAGTGGATGAAAAACAAGGGGAGAGTGTGATGAATGAAAAAGTAATAGTAAGTGAGAGTTACCATCATACAGTGGATCACAGCAGGGGACAGAATCTGAGCAAAATGATGGATGATTCTGTCTTTTCTGTAGTCACAGACGTAGCTGTAGAGGAAGGAAGTACAAAAAGTGCAAGGCTGGTAGTATTTTATGTCTACTTTGCCTTGGACTGAATAAACATATAAGGGTACAAGACAACAGAATCAGGTTCTTAATAGTGTACACTCCTGTTTCCCTCTGCAGGACCTGCTCATCCACTGGGGTCTTCTCTGGTAGAAAAATTTAAAAAAGACAAAATAAGTTGCTTAGTGGGAAAGTGTTTCTGCTTGTATTTCAGTTTTGGCTATCACACTGTTATTTAGAGTACCCTCTGCGTGTTTTAAGGCATGGTGGAGCAAACAAGGAACTGATGTCCCCAAACCAAACCAAAAATGAGGCTCCTGGCAGAGTGCTGCCCCTCTCTCCTGACTGCCTGTGGAGACATTCCTGCTCTGCAGAAATTGCTGAGTAGAGATTGGTTACTTTATAATTACTGAAGGGCAGAAATGTGCACCTGAGCAGGCAGGCAGGGAGCTGTGCCTGTGTTTAGCTCGCAGGAGCTTGGCCTGTTCTAGCACCAGCCTTTTACGAATTTATCAGGGCAAACAACACCTTATGTTCTGAAGTAAGAACCAGGTATATTTATCTCCTTCCTCCTTTACATATAGAGATATAAACTGATTCACTGCCCCTTTTTCTTTTAGGTCACCCAGAAATCAGAGATTTCTTTGCTCTGGTTCACTTGAACATACACACAAAAATTAATCCCTGGTTTTCCATCCAGCAAGGCAAAGGCCATCCACGCTCACTATCTCTGCCTATCTGTGTCCCTGCATACCCTTGTTCTCTCAGGCTCCCTGACAGTGCCAGAGAGGAGGAATACAAAGAACCTCAGTGAAGGAAACTCAGCTCAAAGCAAATGCCTGGTTCAACAGAGTGTTCCTGGGACCAGATTTTGGTATGGCTCCGCTTTTTCATTTAAACCTTCTAAACCAAACCAAAACCAACCCCTCAAAACAACCAAAAAAGACCCTTTAAAACCCAGGCTAATTGAGAGAGTGCTAACATTAGTAAGACAAATGAGTGATACACGACAAGCCTGCGGTTTCTCCTCTAAAGTGAAGTGTTGTTTTCTTCACAATGGGATGATTAATACACTCAGGCAGGAATATTAATAGGCTTGTTCAGTTGTTGCAACATTCTTCCCACTGCTGTGCTATTGAGGCCTCGGAATCTGAGCCCAGGGGACCCTCAGCTCTTCAGTCCCTCATCTGGCACATTCTGTACATCAGTCTCCCAGCACATGTTGCAGTGAGAGCTGCTCTGTCTCTGCAAAGTGCAGCTCAGCACACTTTGTGTGTCACGAGTGGGGAAATCAAGGCAGGCAGAAGTGATGTGTCAGTCCCCCACTTGCTCCTCTGCAGGTCACCTCCTGAATCCTTGGCAGTTTAGAAACCATATGTCTGCTCAGTTCTGTGATGTTCTTTTTAATATGCCACTCCTTCAGAGAGGTACTCCGGAGTCAGAATCCTGATTGTGTTCATTAAAAAATGCTGGAGTGTTTGGAATTGTCAGACCTATTTCTATTCTCTTAAAGCTGCCTTTTAATTCAAGTTACTCACCAGAAAGACAGTGAGTACCTAGAATATGTACCCTATTCTATTCCTGCTCCACCTCTCAGCCTTCCTCCTCATAGCACCTGCCTACCCACCATTTGTGCAAAATCAGGGTGCAGTTTCTTTCTGTGATTATGAATTTTCTGGCCTTTCAGGGCAGATAAACTACAATACTGGGACCTGGTAGTCCCAGATGCTCTATATATTTTGTGCTAAAAGGCTTAGTTTGACACTGCTGGTAGGAGGCCATTCCCACCCAGCAGCTGTTGTGAAATATATTGGTGGTCTCAGCCCCATTCCACAAGTGAACAGGTCATAAATAAGATCCACACCCAGAGCTTCAGAAAAACTGGAGATAGATTGAGCAGCATGGGCACTGATCTCCTCTATCATCCCTGGAGATGATAAGCCAGAGAGTAACACTGAACAAATATGCTGGGATGAATTTCTTCTAGAATTTCTTCTAGGCTGGAACTAGATGATTTCTCCCAGCCCAAGCCATACTATGATTCTATGGTACTTCAGTAATTGTTCCCTGTATAACCAGTTTTTTCCTTTGAAAAGGACTTCACTAAAGTAAAGAAACTTTTGGGTGGTTTTTGACTTGCCGATCTGTTTCTAATAGATATTGAGCCACAGCTTTTGGGTTTCTCTGATCCTTCCTTACATCTACAATCCTTCCTTAAAGCCTTACAGCACAGAGAACCCATTAAACTGAGGACTAATGGAGGAATTGCCAGTGTTTGGCACTTCCAGGAGCTGGACCCCACTGCCCTGCGCTGTGGTGACAGATTAAAGAGACACAGATGGTTTGCTGCTCTGGGGAATATTCATCATGCTGAACATGGATGCTGCCTTTGGCCACAGCAGAGCAGCCTGTGAGAAGGGCAAAGCATGTTTTGTCTCCATCAAGACCAACAGCCCAGGAGAAGAACCAGCTCAGCCGCCCCCTCGGAGAGCGCGGAGGCCTGAAATCCATTCCCCTGGGAACATCTGCTTCCCCTTTACCTCAGGGAACAAATGCATGGAAATACAGAGGGTTGTTCCTAATATTTCCATTCGATCTGGAAGTGTTGAAAACCCCCACCAGGCACCTCACGTTATGTGGAAGATTGCCTATGACTGCTCAAAAATAACACTTATTTCATGTGGAGGAGGAGGAGGGAATCTGTTTATTCCAAAATCAATATTTCTACATTCATTAAACATTCCACTTATTAACTTCTTTTTTCCATGCTTGTGGTGGCATTCTATCCTTGTTTTTATCCTTCTTGCAAATATAATTTTCATTTGATTTCCATTCCTATTTCCAGATTTTAGTGCTCTGCATTAGCTAATTGGAGCTTGACAGGTCTGGAGTGTGGGTATGTGGAAGAGTGCCTACCACTGCCCTAATTTCCCCCCATCCATATCCTGGGATCTAAACCAGGGTGGCTGAGTGCAGAAATCTGCCTGGCAAATTAAATTGATCAGACAATGTGTGCTTCAAACAGAGTCAAGTGGGAATATTTCCTTGAGCTGCTCTGCTCCTCAGGATATTTGAAATCAGTATTGAATCTGAACTTTCACAGGCTTTTTTATTTTGATGAAAGGAGACAGTAGAAGTTGCCTTCTGTTTCATGCAGAATAGCCCAAACTAAGTAAGACTAATTTTCTGTGACACGAGAACCAGGTGGGACTATGATAATGAAGTTTAAAAGTAAAAATGATAAAGAAAAAAGTAATCTGTCTGGAAGGGAACTCAGAAGGCAGTGCAGCTCATTATCCTGCCCCAAGTAAGGATAATGCTGTGGTTAAAACATTTCTGTAATCCTTAGAAATCATAGATTTTATTCTTTACTGCAGAACAAGACCTGTATTGTCTTAGTCAAGTGGTTGGGCCCTTATTCAAAGATATTTAATGAAGTCTAGTTCTGACTGATTTTTAGGGAGCATTAGATTCTTAGATATCATTGTAGCTCTTTCCCCAGTCTTGCTCTGCCTCAGCCTCCAGACTACGGAGTGATGATAAAAGCAGTCCTGCCCTTTTATTTAAGATGACTATCTGGAATATTAAAATAACATGGTCTACTAAGGTAATGTGGTATAGAGTCATAGGCTGGTAAAAGAATATAGGTTTCAAGTGTAGAAGGTGTTCCTGCACAGGAAGGATTAATCTGTTCAGTCAGTGTTGGTCCAGACAGAGCAGATTTCTAAACATTTCTGTGTGAGTAGGAAATGATATAATTTCCCTTTATAGTTCCTGAACTGAGTCTTCATGCTGGTCCCAGCATGGGAACTGGGAAGAAGCAGTACCTGTAGGCACTTCCCTGAACTGCTGGAATTTCTTGAGAACAGCAGGTTGGGAATTCTACCTTATATCTCCAAGTGGCACCATAAGATTACATCACTGCTCCTGAAGCACTGAGCTCTGGAAAGCCAGAGTGGAAGGGGAGGAGTGTCCTGAATCAGATAGTCTGTAATGCATGAGCTGGAGGTGACTCTGCCCCAGGAACAGGCAGTTCCCTGGGGGGACAGGCAGTGCACCAGTCCTGATGTTGAGTCACACTTTGGGTCTCTCACCTTTTTAAGGCAGCACAGTGACAGTGTCCTTGTTTATCTGAGCTGTCAGGCTCCAGGAGGGAGTGATATCACTCCAGCAGGGAGTGATAAAAATCCTCAGTGAGAGCAATTTTTATTATATATATACACACACATCTCTTCAATTCTGTTTATGTATATATGTAAGATTGAATTAAAAACCTTGTTATAACAAAGCACAATCCTCTTGTATTACTTGACTGTATATATTTTACTTTCTGTTGAAGATGGAATTTGTTTTCATGGGTGCTTAACAGACAAAAGAATATATATTTGATCTTCTTATTCGTATTACAGGCTCCCAAAAAGGCAAAGAAGAAGATAGAAGGTGGCTCCAATGTGTTCTCTATGTTTGAACAAACCCAGATCCAGGAGTTCAAAGAGGTGGGTCACTGTGCTGCTGTTCTCTACAGTCTCCTGTTATTGCTAATGAAGAACATAGGCTTTGTTTGTAATCCTTATTCAGTTCTCCATCTGCTTTAATAGAACACACAGTTGTTTTCTGAATCATCCCTGTGGTCTTGGCTGGTGTATCATTTTCCTTGTGTGTTTGTTTGTTCTTTCATTCTTTCTTTCCTTCTGTCTTTCCTTCTTCTGTCCCTCACTCTCCTGTTTCAAGCTCCAGACTTATTTGAAAATAAACCCCCGCTCCAAGATAAAGGAAAATTACCATCTCATCCACTTTAGACCTGATTCAGGAAAACACTTCATCACAGTTAAAGTGGTATTTTAAATAAGAATAGTCTTACATGCTCAAGTATTATCCTGAATGGAGATGCCTTATTGAACCAGGGCTTTAATCCATGGTCTGTTCCACAACAGCAATAGAAAATATTCTTCTGTGTCCTTCTAATAGTGCCCACAAACTAGAAATGAAAATACCAAAAAGCCCTCAGCTGACTTTCTCCACAAATGCCAATAAATGAAAACATGTTGAGATTAACAAAGCACCTTTTAGCTCCCAAGGAATTTGGTATTCCACACACTGCAGATTCTTTGAGCACAGGTAAGAAGGTAAATCTGAAAGGCTGGCATAAAAGCTGGAGCATATTAAAGACAGAAAATCTGCTTGATAAGTTTATGTTCTTTTTCTGAGTGGACATTCTGGAATGTCTGTGAGACCATCACTGTCTGGATTGGGTTGTCATTTTAAATTATTGGCTTTCCCCCCATTTTTTCTAACTCCCATCTCCAAAGCCATTTCTGACGTGATAAATGTCTACTGTTTCATTTTGTGCATGTGTCCTTCAACTTTACTTTCCATGAGGATTCCCACCAGGAAAACTCAGTAGTGGACAAGACTAAAACCCACACAAAGGACTGGGAACATGACCCAGCTAAATGGATTGGAACCACTAATCATTTCTCCACAGTTAATAGAAACATGTTTAACACTCTTCTCCCACCTCTTCTCCACATCCTATGAACCTCCATTTGACTTTCTCCAAGGATTCCTGTTTGAAGAAGGACCAACAAACAGAATGCCATATTTGATCTTCTCTAAATCAGATAATCCTGGGAACATTTCTAGGAGGATGGTGGCAGAATAATGGCATAAAACTCAAGACCATGTTGTGTCTAAAAACTGCATATTTGGGACAAGCATTTCTGAAAAGCTGGTTTTGATCAGAACATTTTTATCTAGAGATTTCAAGCAGCTCACCAGCAAATGTTTCAGCACTGCTGTTGTGCTATTTAAAGTTCACCCATTACAATATCTAATGTTCTTCCTGTCTTCTGTGAGCTTGCTGGGTTTTGCTCTGCTCTTCATATTTCTCCTGTTTTGCTTCCAAACTGTGGGGGATCACCATTCAAAGCAAGCCTTGCCCAGAGAAAGGAAAGCCTCCCTAAAGTGTTGGGGTTAATTTTTTGTAAGGGGGTGGTTTGGCAGGTAAGTGAAGGATTATGAACATGGATGTGGCAAGGAGTCACCTGGGCAAACGGGAATGTGAGCAGTGGGGCTTTGTAAGAAACTGGAGGTGAAACTACATAAGGATCTGTTGATATAATACAACCAGGGAGAGAAATGCACCCTGGAGAGCAGCAGATTTTAAAACTCTGCAAGTTAGTGTTGCTGTATTCTCTGGAGAGCACAGTCTTTCATCATAATGGAAGTGGGAATAATTCCTGGTCATTGCAAAGATACGCTCTCTTATTGATGTGCCTGTCAGACAGATAACCAGCTTCAGAGACATGCCTGGTATGACCAGGGGAATTTCAGGTCATTAAAATCTTTCCAAATCAATGAAACATTAGAAGTGTGATGGCAGCAAATAGAGGGACACACAAATAGGTAAACAGATAGATGGGCATTTAGCTGGCTTGGTAAATAATGGTCAGAGAACATCAAGTCTGTGTTGGCTGAAAATAAAAATAAATTAACTGGCTTTTTCTATCAAAAGTTAAACTTTGCCTGACAAGAGTATCTAAGGTCAGCACATCAGGGTCAGTTGGAGTACTGTCTCAAGGATACAGTTTATTGGAAAGGGGAAAAAACTTTGAATAAATTATCCTATGGAACCTGCATTTCTCTGTGCTTCTGAAAATTCAGCTGTCTCTGTATGATGGGCCATTTTAAGTCCCAGAAGGAATTGACTTCAGGTCGATAGCAGAGAGATATCTTCAGAAATGAAATGTTTTACAGAACATAACTGCACAAAGAACGAGGCATGGGGAAGGTACAAACACACAGAGCAAGCACTGCCTAAATCCTCCCTGACTAAAGTCTCCCTAATTCAAACTTTTATGGGTTAAGGCCTGAATGGCTGGAGCTGCCAGCATTGGCTCCAGCCCAGCTGCTCGCTGCACTGAGCAGTAATTTAGTGAGAAGAAGTTTGGGTGGGTTTAATTAAGCCCCTTGCCAACATACAGTAATGTGTTGAAAGTGAGGAGGGTGCAATGAGGTGGTGTGATGTGGAGGAATCAAAGGAAGTTAAATATTCCTTCTCACAGGATGAATATCATACCCCCCTGGCCTGGTGTGTGTGATTGCAGCACTGTCCTGTGCAATGGTGGTGGCAATACATGTTCCTTTTTCTTCCCCCAGGCTTTCACCATCATGGATCAGAACAGGGATGGCTTTATTGACAAAGCAGACTTGAGAGACACGTTTGCTGCACTAGGTAAACTGTAATAATTAAAATTGTTCAATACTTGAAAAAAATGCAGTTTCAAACACCTAGGAAAGGTCTGTATTAGAGTTACAGTGGGATAAGTGATGAGATACACAGGAGGCAAAGGGGAACCTGTTCAGTTTGACCTTCCTCCTGATGGCAGTTGCTGTCTCACTGCAGAGCTCCAGCTGGAAAGTCTCCTGAGCAGTCTCCTTGGGAAGAGGTCTGATCCCTCCCCTGCAACTATTTCAGAACAAGCCCACCCAAGCAGGGGTCCATGCCAGGCATTTCTGATTTGCCTCTGAATCCAGGCTTCCCAGGCTGCACTTTTTCATCTGGGAGCCATGGAATATCCACTGATTAGCTCTGCTGCCATGGACTGGCTGCCCCTCTGCCCACACAAAAGCAGGACTTCATGTGAGGTTCTGTGCTTCACGTGGGGTGAAATGTGCATGTCATGAGATTGGGTATTGTCCATTCCATGCCCATCACAGTCCTGATAATATCAAGCAGATCAGAGCAAATCTTCCCAAGGAAAGGAAAAATTAAAATGCTCGTGGTCCCAAACCTGGAGTTGTATCCTGGTTGCAACATCTGAGGCTTGAACAGTGATGTAGGCATTTGGGATTTTGCCATCTGGATCTTATTAAAACGAGTTTGATAAGAATCTTTAGTGCTCCCCAGGGTGGAATCAGGCGCCAGCAGAGTCAGTGCAAGGAGCAGAAGCTCCTGAACTCTTTATTGTGACAATGAGGTTTGCAAACTTTGGCCTGTAGCTACTGTTGCCCTGAAATATTTATTTCTTAAGGCCAAGTTCTGGTGTCTTTCCTGTTCAGTGAAGCCCTTCAACAACTATAAAGTACAGTCACAGCAAATTACCTCTCAATTTGAGACGGGTTGCCAGGGTCTAAATTCTCATCAGTGGACTGCACAAGGATGGAGAGGGAATAGGACTACTCAACTCATCATCTGCCCTCTGCTCAGTGAGGTGTCTCAATGCACAGGAGGGCAAAGACTGAGACCTTGGATTCACTTCATCACTTTGATCTCTGCTATATTAACATCAGTGGGGCCCATATTTCACCTGAGGTAAAACAAAACAAAACAGAACAAACCAGGAGTTTATTTGTTAATGCCCCTTCCCTCGTCCACTGCTGCCCATGTCTGTGTTATTTATCCTCCTTGCTGCTTCAGTCACCCTTTGATCTCAGAGTCAGCTCTGCCGATTCCTTTTCCACTGGGGTGCTTGGGAGTTGTGTTCTGCCACGTTATTAGCAAAGTTGCACAGAGCCCTGAGCTCCCCAGTGGGAGGAGATGAATGGGAATCGTTTTTTGAAACACAATTTGTGATTTATTATGAAAAATGATCTCTGCTGCAGGTCGTCTGAATGTCAAGAATGAAGAGCTTGAAGACATGGTGAAGGAGGCGCCAGGTCCTATTAACTTCACTGTCTTCCTTACTATGTTTGGGGAAAAGCTGAAAGGTAAGCACCTCTGGGGGATTGGAGAGGTATCTGTCAAAGCTCCTCGGCACTGAAATATCTCAGCACCTTGCAAATTATAATCATGTACCCACAGAGCAGTGCTCAAAGGCAGGGAGTGATCTCCACCTTTGCAGGCAGAGCTCAAGTATGAAAGGCTGAGGGCCGGTCCAGAGGACAGTTCAAAGGTGTGATTCAGCTTACACAAGCTCACATGAAAGTGCTAAGCTGAGGTCCAGAAAGCAATGAAACCCCAGCAGCCTGGAGCACGGGGAGGGGAGTTCCTCACCATCAGCAGCTTCCTAGGCTGGAGTCAGTTCCTCGCAGTGTTAGCTGCTTTTAAAGTATTTTCTGTATTTCTAGAGAAAAGCCCCTTTTTACACTTCTTTGGCTCACTAAGCAAACATGATCTCTGCGTCCTCCTTGCAGTTGCAGGGCATGAAGAGGAACGTGGGCTTCCCTGTTTTCTGTGTTAGTTGTAACCCAGTGGCCCAGCCTTGGTGTCACTTGAAGTCAATAGTGATTTTGCCATTAGATGAAGACTTCACTTAATGAAATAATTAAATCTCAGTGGATTTGCAAGGGTAAGGGAGAGGGATTTTACCCATTGCTGCAGAATATATAGAGATCACTGGGGGTGGTTCAGAAAATATGGGTACTAAATTTGTTGTGTGAGCTGGTAATTTAGTCATCTCTTCCTGCTCATGGCTAGAAACTGCAAGGGGGGAGTGAAGCCAAGAGAAACCATCATCTTCCAACATGCATTAGAGAAAGGTGAAAGCCTTGACCTTCAAAGCAAGGCTGGTCTTAGCCAAATACATTCCAGAAGTTTGTTAAAATAACTAATGAACAGAAAAATGGAAAAATCCTATACTGTCTTCTTAAAAGCATTCGTTGTATTGTTCCCGGATTCTGGCTCTCCATTGCTGAACACAATTCCAGTGAAGGGCTTTCTGTGCTTGGAGTAGAAAATAGAGAGGTCTGAAAGAAAGAATTCACGTAGTTAGTCCTTGAAGAAATACACTCCTGCTAAAGAGAAGCAGGAGAGGGGATGGAGGAGGCTGCAGATGGACACAGAGGAGGGGATTTTATCACCCAGACATCACTCTGTCTTGATAAATGTGGTACCTCCACCTTTACATTCCAGGTGTCATCTGGCAGTGCCCTCCTCCACAGTTTTCCTTCTGGGATATGTGACTATTTGTTGTGGGGTGCCCTGCTGCCCATTCCATTTGGGATGCTCACAGAGAGCATGGAAATGAGCTCTTCTTCCTTTCCCTCTTGTCCCTTACAGTTGCTGAAGCTGGCAAAGCCTCCGGCCCTGCCAATTGTGTAGCCTAAAAGCAGAGCCAGCACAGGAAGGTGAATGGCAAAGCATAACCCTCTTGTCTGCAGGTTTCCTGTTGGCTACTTGCAGGGGAGGAGGGGTTTTTTAATTTCCATTTGGTGAAGGGAAAATCACAGCTGTGCTTGTCATGCCCTTCTAGTTGGGTTTGTCATGCAAAGGAAGCACAGCCAAAAGACTGCACATTCCCAATCAAAACTAATTGGGATGAAGAGCCTTTGTAGTGCAATTAGAAAGGGAGAAAGGGCTAGAGGAAGTGGATATGGCAATTTTGCAACACTCTTTATTAGCTAAGTACCACTCAGAGAATTTGGTGAAAGGTGCTTTCTAAGTAAAATTTGTTGTGCTATAATTGATTTCTGTCATAAAGGGGAAGCTGGGATTTTCAGGATGAGCTTTAGCTTTGTATGTTGAGATTATGATGCCAGATGAACAGCTAACAAAACTCGGTTTATGTTAATGCCAACCACATGGAGCTGTTTCTACAGGGAGTCAGAATAATACAATTTGTACAGAAAACAGAGATGCCGCACATCAAAGAAACCACTTTATTTACCAGCTAATCAATAAAGAATGCCTGCTGCATTGCTTCTCTTCAAAGCCAAAGTCCAAGGATATGACAGAGGAGAAAATGTAAAACACAGTGAGGGAAAAAAAATCCCCCCTACAGTGGTGAGCAGTTAAAATGCAGAGCTCTCCTCGGAGCTGGGGGACGTTTCTCATCGTGGGACAATTAAAACATTCATTAAACACCAATGCTCTTTGTATTGATCACAGATTCATTGCAGTTTGAATGCACTGCCTACAGCTTGGCCAAAAAAATACACACGGCCAGTGCGGGACAAGGAGGAGGCCGGATAGCCCCAGGTTTGTTGCTGTTCCATGCACCAGGAGAGCACCAATCCTGGGGAAATCTGAACAAAGACTACTAGGAAGGCATCAGGAGGCTATGCAGCCACTAGAGCAGGGAACCTTGGCTGGGTTCTATCTCTGCCAAACTTTGAAACGAACTTTGAATCTGCAATTCTTTGTGTTATATCCTTTTTTAATCGCTCTTTCGGTATTTCAGTTTCCCAAGTAGCTTCATTTGTCCACGGGGTCAGTTTGCCTGCTTGTAACTTTGGTTTCCTACAGCTGCAAAGATTTGTGTTGTATATAAATACCATAATATTTTGAAATATTGTGGAATAGTCAGAAACAGAGCATACAGTGTATTCTTTGGAGTGGGTTGAGACTCTGAGTGTACTGAGAATCTGCAGCATTACAGCACAGTCACAAGCCCCAGCCAAGATTAAGGCGCTGTGAAAGCGAGTCCCTGATACAAATTTTTTCCAGTCCAAACAGAGGGAAGAAAAGGAAGACCATTACTATCATTTTACTGCTGGGAATAGAGGGACAGGGATATTCAAGTCATATCAAAAATCTGTGGCCCAACTAAGAGCAGAAGCAAAACCTCGGAGCCATAGTCTGGTGCTTCAAACCACCCTATTTCTACAAGTTACACTTAATGAGGAGATGTTTAGGGGGAAATAAGTGCAGATCACCATTTTACATTGATCATCCTGTTTCCATTGGCATTTGGATTTTATGATGAGCTCCATTTCCTTTAGTGAGGCAAATAACCTCTTCTCTATATAGTGAAGAACAAGTAACATCAAAAAGTGTTTTTACAAGGAACGTGCTGTACAAGATTAAAGGAAGCCAGTGAGGGAAACAGTTTGTTATATTTTCGTTTCTGAAAGCCACTAATCCTCTGGGTACTGATATTGGAGACCAGTTCCTGGAAGTTTTCTCTCCTGCAGACACAGAATAGATATGAGTTATTATTTTTAAGCTTCTGAGCATTGAACTATTCACCTCTATTGTTTATCTGACATGACAAATGCTGCCGACTTAAGGAACCTTTGTCTTCAAACCCACAACTGCAGAATTCTCCATTTTGCACTGTTTTCAAGTGAATGCAATTACTTAGCAAGTGTTCAGCAGCTAGAGAAATACATCCAGGCTCTTAAATTACATTTCATTAATTTTAGGCACGGACCCAGAAGAAACCATTCTGAATGCTTTTAAGATTTTCGACCCAGAAGGAAAAGGCCGCATAAAGGCAGACTAGTAAGTTTATTTCAGATCCTTTGAAAGAATAACAACAATCCTAATAATTGCACCATATTAGAGAACTGCTTAAAAGCTGTATTTTTCATGGTGTTTTAAGAGACAGAGGAACTGTCAGGCAAAGGAACATTTAGCTTTGTAAGCTGGAGTTAAAAGACTGGACTATTGTATGAATGTATTTGTATACCAAAAAGAGATGTTATTGTCTTCAGACCCTGCAAGAGGCAACGGAAATATAATCACATGTAGGCCATTAGATAGCCTTTTTTTGAAGGTCTGGGTATAAATCAACACATGACTCTTTGTAGATTAACTCCATATGTCAAATTAAAACCAATGTCTGGTGCCTAACTCTTGGAGTGCTTGACTCAAATGGGAAGCTACTCCCCCCTTAAAAAAGTGATCAATTTAATTAACTCTGTGACATGGTTTTAGTGCAGGACATTTTCCTTTTTATGTGTTTATCATTTGAGCCTTCTGCCTCCAGATGATAACTTGCTGTAAAATTCCACTAGGATGGTGGGAGCCAAACCTAATAATACTATTAATAATCTGGCAATTATTGTCAATATGGCTATTTTTAAAATAAGGAGGCAGGGCCTGATTTGTATTCATAACCTGTTGCCCCAACAAAGCAGTGTAAAAGGACTTTAAGTGCTAATTGCACAAATGTAAACCCTCATTGCACTGCCAGAACAGGACTTCAGGTAAGTGAGATAAATGCTATAAATGATATCAAATCAGGGCAGTGCGTGGGGAGGTCTGACCTATGGCTCCAGAGAAATGCTTTATGTACCCAGATTTATGCATATGGTTAAATTTTGTGGTGAATTTGGGGTCTACACTTTTTTGCAGCAGCCATTTCAGGGAGATTTTATAAAGCATGATATGTATAGGAAATTTATTAGGGAACCATGAGTTACAAAACTGTATTTGCCTCAATTAATTCTGCAAATGTTGTGATAACCTCTGAGTAGAATCCCATGGAGGTTTCCACGATATTATCTGCAATTATTGATGTCTCCTGGAAGTCAGTTGAAACTATAATATTCCCATACAGTATTTCTTTCCTTTCCCAATGTGCTGTTCTGTGACACTCCCCCAGTGGGTGTGAGAGCTGTGCTATGGTGTGCAACGTGCAAAATAAAAGCAAGGACGCAGTTTTTTCACTAAAAACTTCCAAATTAATTAAAACACAAGTGGATGTAGCAAACAGTCAGAAGGAACAGAGGGCTAACAGTTGTCCTGATGGTTTTGGGGTTAACATTATCCAAGCAACTTGGGAAGAACAGTCAGAGGATCATATCATATCAAACAACTAGAATAAATGTAGCCTGTTGCCAGCTAGGGCAGATCACAGGGCAGTGAAATCACAGCTGTGAAATATGAACTTCTGATACTACAAACCCCATGAAATGTTATATTTCCCACCACTATCTGTAACAATATCCTGCATACAAAATCTGCAGCTTGCCACCCTCTGTCCAGCTCTACATTCCTTGGATGCTGGAAGCCAGTTGGAGTTTGGGGCAAATCAGGAATGCAGCATCCCACTCCAAAATGAAGATGAGAGAGAAATACTTTTATTTTTCCTTGATGGAAAAGGTCAACCTTGTCCCCACCCCCACTGCACCGCTAACATTAGACAATTGTTTTAGTTCATCACCACAACAGAGCATAATGTTTACTTATTAGACCCGAGGGTAATGTTGATCATTACAGAACAAATCATTAAATCAATTCCGTGAATGTCTTTGAGGTTTAACTTCTATTCATATGCTTCCAAAATTTAGACATTTGAAGGTTTTGAAATAATTTTTCTGTTGGCTCACGCAGCCGTTTCAATATGACTGTTAATGTTAATAAATAATATTTCTCCATATTAAAAAATCCTGGAATGTTTCTCTCCAAAACCCGCCATGTTGACCTTTTAATCAGAACTTCTTTTTATGTTCATGGAGTTAACATCCTTCTGGGGATTTTTATGTCTCTTCCCTCTGCGTGTTTTCACCTCTAGTCTGGAAATGACTCACTTAGTCCATCTGATGGTAGCTGGGATGGAGCCTTCAAACCTTTCCAGAAGCTCCAGGAGTTTGTAACGTACTTCCAAATCCACTGACGGACTTTGTTTGCCTGCATCATTATCCCCCACATAAAACCCTTCCTAGAGCATGATGTCAAAAAGAGAAAATGCTTTCGGTCGCATTCTCAGCTGGTGTGAGCTGGCACAGTGCTTGGAAAGGTTGGATGATTCAGTCCCAAATGCCATTCATGGGACAAAGTGAGTCAGGCCAACACCAACTCTGCCCAGTGCAGGTGCCAACAAAACTGTTCCCACTTGGACCAGGAAAATGGACCCGGGACCTTTGGAGGTTCCTGTGGCTGAGCCAGTGATGTCTCTCATCGTAGCTGTGGAGCTCTGCTTCTTTCAACTCACCTGTTTTTCTCCAAGACACCCCTGTAGAAAGGGCAAATCCAGTGGAAAACCAAAATGTCCTGGAGATTTTACAGATAATTTTAAAAAAGGTTCTGAAAATATCAGACTGCAACAAGGTATTTGTGGAAGGAGCCGATGTCAGCCAGGACAAGAGATAGCATTTAGACTCCTGCCCCAAGGCACATGGATATTCCTTTTGCCCAGAAGACTTTGGGTTTGGTATGATTTTGGAGTGTTTTTGAGAAGCAAATAGCCTTTATAAAGAAAGCAAGATACGCTAAGAAAAAAGTCCATAATTTCTGGCTTTGGAAATTGTGAGTGTTTGTTTCCCTATAAAATAAATAATGGAAAATGTGCATAGATCCTTTACTCAGTCCTTCCTCCTGATGAGTGTGCCAGAGCCTACTGGGCTGTGCATCAGAAGATTATAATTAGATATTTGATCTTTTCCCCTAAATACTTTAAGCATGTGAATGGAAGACAGGCAGTGCCCAGATCTCTTTTTAATTCAGTCCTGTTTGTGATGAAGCTTATTTGTGACTTCTGACAAAATTGCTCTGAGCGCTTCCTTCTATATTCCCCAAGCTCCTCCCTGGATCACACTTCCCATTTACATTTATTAATGCTGTTTGCCCCCCTGCACAGGTATCCAATAATCAATTTGTGCTGAGGAGAGCGAGGCCTCTACTCTTGCACCCACTGATCAGTTGAGAATTCGACTTCAAAAACGCAGTCACACCCTGAACGGCCGAGGGACCAAAACACAAACAGCAGTTTGAGACAAAGAGAGATGAGGAAACTTTGCTAAGTAAAGAGAATGGTGAAGTAATGCAGGAAAAATATAAACAACAGCTTAAGCTCTGTCTGTGACTTCAGAGTGTTTCCCAAAACTTGCACAGATATTTTCACACTTGTCCTTGTGGGTAAGATCCTTATTCACTACCCAGAACCTTTTTTTTTCAGTTTTCCCTTTCTGAGCTTCCAGATGAGCACTTCCTATCAACAAGAAGGAAAAAACTATGAGTCAGAGCTCTGAGGAAGTGCTGTTGTAGCTTTGCCATCCAAACCACACTTTTGTCTGGGTGACTTTTCCCACGTGAGATGCACAGTGTATGGGAGCAGAAAGGGGAGATTTACTATGTTATCTGAACATCTGCATCCACAGTAGGTGAATTTTGCTCCTCTGGAAGTGTTCCTGCTCAGGCATGATTTCTATTACAAATAGTTTTAAATATTCCCTTTAAGAAGGAGGAATAAATACTCCCTTTAAAAAGCAAAAAGGGCTGCTTTCAGAAGAGCTATTGCTTTCACTCTCCCACAACAAAACCTTCAAAAAAGAAGCCTTTTTTTTTTTTTTCAAATCTACAAACCAAACCAGATTTCTATATTTGCTTCAGCTTTTGTTTTTGTACAACAGACTGCTCAGCTGTTATCACAGCTTTCGAGTTTGCTTTACTGATCTAGAAAAACTTCTGATGATGTATAAATACCTTTGGTAGTAACAAAAGGAGACAACTCTGCCTCTGCAGCGTGAATGCAAACTGTGAGATTAAAAAGGGAATTCTTTTACAGGAAAGGGTAATTCTTGGTGCAAGTGAAAGGGATGTTTTGTGTGATGTAACCAAGTTCATAGTGGTGGATGTTGCAGCACATGGTGCATGTGCTGCCCTCAGCACACGAGGAACTGGGTAGGATATAAAGACATTTTATCTAAGGGGGTTAGACTAGAAACAGAAATCATCTTCCAGGCTTTTCTGTTCACCTATAAACTTAGGTAAAAAAAATTAGATGCTCCACTGCCTTCCCACAATGGGTTTAAAACAGAAGGCAAATCAGCTGAGAGTCAGCCCCCAAACTATTCTCTTTGATGTAATTGCAGGGGATGCAGATTGTGTGTGGGATAAGCTCCTTGTTCCAGTGCTGTAACTCCAGCTCGAGACGCTGCACCACGGAATACAACAGGTCTCATGCAGTTCCACAGCCTCCTCTGGGAATGACTGCATGCAAATAAAGGGATTCACAGATGATGATTTGGAATAGCTGCTGGAGTCCTCTTTCAAGTCCTCTTTCTCATTTCATGCTCTGTTCCTTTCATCCTTGGATTTTACAGAAAATATTCTCTCTTTTGGTTTTGTTAAGTGATCCGAACTTTAAACAGCAAGTGAGAAAACCTACCACTTTAGGTTAAGATAAGCATACAAAATTGCTGTATTTCAATTAGAGTAATAACCTTAAACAATTTTAAACCTCCATAAAATGTCACAAAAGCGAAATAAGTTGGCAGAGCGAGGCATTGACACTGATGGGTGCCCACAGAAAATCTCTTACAATATCATGTAAGGATTAACAGCTCTAATTTATGCGGTCACACAGATTTCCTTTCATGCAACTTCAGGAAGGATCTTGCCATCTGAATTGTCATGTGCCATTATCACCCTTTAATCAGGTTATTTCATTTTATTTGAACAGCATCAAAGAAATGCTGATGACACAGGCAGACCGGTTCAGTCAAGAAGAGGTAAGGAACTGCTTTATTCAAAACAGAAATCTCTCTCCAGCTCCTGTTCAGCACTCTTTGCCCCTCTTTAAATGCATGAATTCAGCTGAAATCCAGACTGAGAGAAGGTTGATGCCAGCTCTAGCAATTAGTAACAATTCAAAGCCTCTCTTCTGAAGAGCTCCATGGCTAAATCAAAGTCAAAGAGATTCCTTGGACTCCCATCCAAGTTAAGCGTGGCCTATCTCGTGCTGTTCTTTCCTAGGGTGAGCTGGGCAAGGGATTTACTGCAGCCCAAGTGAGTTTGGGTGGGGACTGTGATCTGGTTTCCATTTCTGTGAGTTATTTTGTTTGAAATCTGAAATGACTTCTGAAATGAGGTACTGACTTTGTGGTTTGTGTGAGACTGAACATGGATTCTGCTGGCTGGGGGGAGTTCAGAAGGACTTTATTTTCAGAAGAGGAGATTGAGTGGAGTTGATTTGTGGCAAGAACAGACTGGACAGCCTGTTCCAGTCAGAACAGCAAACTGGACTGGTTTTGACCAGGGCTTACCTGGATTTCTGGGAGAGCTCTTTTCAACAGGGATCTTGTTGGGATTTGAGCAGGACTTTATTAACTAGTTGTGTTCTAATTCCTATTTCAGTTTTACTGAAGCTAAGGAAAAATCTTCCACAGTGGTTAATGGATCAGGGCAGCAGGGAGCTGACCTGGGTTGAAAAGGAAAAGCTGCACATGTTGCTGTCCCACAGTCCTACCTTTGTAACACTTATCTCCTGTTTGCTTGGCAGATCAACCAGATGTTTGCTGCTTTCCCTCCAGATGTCTCTGGTAACCTGGACTATAAGAACCTTTGTTATGTTATCACCCATGGTGAGGAGAAAGACTAAGAGCAGAGAGATGAGCTTCTCCTGTGGTGCTGCACCAAGTTATTTCATAATGCCTTTGTGTGCAAGACAAAGGGCTGAACATCCAGTATGTGAAGCCATGTGGTCATCAGAAGAGAACCAATAAAACAATTGAAATTAGATTAAAGTTATTTAATGCTCCTGGTTTTATAATATTTTAAAATAATAATTTTAAAATATCAAAATACCCATTTTGTGAGGGTTTTTTCCCCCATCCTTTTTATTCTCCCTGTCAGTGGTTTGAAATGGAATTTTGTTGATGAACCGGTGCTTTTTTGATTTATTGACAAACCTAATGTTCACCAGATGGTCCATTGGGCACTGCAGTGTTGCTTAACCTCTTGTCTTTTATACATAAGTTCCACGTATTAATTGAGAAATCCTCTAACTTATTGCACCAGGAAGAATATCTGGTAAATAGAATTATGTTCCATTTCACAGCCCCCAGCAATGAAAGTGTAAATAAAACAATCTTAAGCTCTTGTGAATATGCAATATGCCCTCTCCATCTCAGTGATGTGGTCAGTGTTACAAACCACTTCACTCATTTGCTTTCGTGAAAGAGAACAGAAATAGTGGATTATTGCCTATTTTCCTCATAGGAAAATTTACCTGGGTGCACTTAGAAACCAGGAATAATGAATTTCCCCCTTCAGAGGCTCCTCTATTGTGTGTGAGAGGTTGTCCATGAAATAATAATAACCCCTGGTCTGTCACTCCTTGGCCATTCTCCTCATCTTACAGGTGAGGCACACACTGGAAGCACGTGTTTAACCCAAGATCATCAAGTCCAGGGCCAAAGAGAGGGATTTGGGAATCATGGCCCAGGGTGACACAGGAAAGCAAACTACCTCTCACTTCAATAACCCAAGATCAGCCCAGTTTCTAAAATGGGCTACAGTTTCTTGTATTTAGACTTCTAGGAATTGGACATATTCTGCCTTGTGTGGAATATTGCATGAACACTTCCTGCGTGGGAGTCAGGAGGACGTTGCAGCCAAAGGAAAACAAGCTTCTGCTGTTTTAACAGCTAATGAAAATGCTTTCCTTGTGCATCAGTGCTGCTGGCACCACAGACACTGAGAGGAAGCAACAGGTTTTTATTTTCTATTTCCATCTCAGCCTTTGCAGCAGGAGAACTTGAGGGCAACACGTCAAATTCTGCCCTCACCAGGAGGGACAGAAATTCCATGAAAAAGCCTTAATGTCTGCATGACTCAGGGATGTGACCTTCATCCCTACCTGCATTTTCTGTTGTTCCAGCAAACCCCTGCATTCAGTGCACGTCAGGAATACAGAACAACTGGAATGAGAAGGCTTTTAGCAGACAGAAAGTTCATAAAATAAATCTCACCCCAACGTGCAGAGACCCTGTGCATGTTCTTGCACCAGCAACATTTTTCTCATGTAACAAGTTGATCCTCAGTTGCATCTGCTTGTAATTATCTCCCTTAAAAATATCAGTGGACACAGCTAGAAGCAAAATTCAGCCTTTTCTTGCACGAATCTTGCTGGAGATGTGGAGAGGGCTTTAGCACTTCTTGCCACATGTTCCTGGAACATTTGAAGAAATGAATAATCAAACAGACCTGTCCCTCCCAACACCATGTGCAGCTTGACTGGGCTTTGCAGACTCAGAAAACTTCATGCCATGCAAGAGTCCACATGACCTCTTCTTCTACCCCAAGGCTCAGGAGCTGAGCTTTCCTCCACAAGCCAGTTCTTATCCCTGTTTCACACAATGCCTCTTTTCTCCCCAGAGTGTTTTTATTCACAGGTCCATGACCACTGCTGGTGGGACAGGGTTGTAGATCAGCAGCTGGAGGTCATGGAGGTAGAAAAGATGATTTATGAGCTTCTGCTTTAGGCTCTTACGCAGACCCACACGAGTGACAGCTCTTCTCAGCAAAGAACTGCTGCTGAGGGGAGAGGGCTGCAAAATGGATGTTTCTTTTACAGACTTCATGTGGAAATTTCTTGAGAGGTGGGTCTGGAAAATGCTCCTCTCTGGCACAGACACGTGTGCAAAGTCCAGTGCTACCTTGTATGAGCTCCACACAATCACATTCCTGGCCAAATGAGTACTGACTGTTCCACTAATATGAGCTGTAGTCGCTTAGGCATCAGATGTCAGACAGTGCTTATGGTTTTTACACTGTTTAAAGATTTCAGAATGAGACTGAAGACTAGATGAGATGGCACACAGGCTTACCTCTCGCTTTTAATCTGGAGAGATTTACTTTTCCTCATGCAAGCTGGTAGGCAAAAACTTTGAGGATAATGCTCTTGAAAGATGAGGTCACATTTTTCCATCGAAGCATGCACAGTTTTTGATGGGTCCTTTTTCACCTGTAACTGTTACTTGACTTCTTCCAGTGCAGCTCTGTGACATCTCAGGCTGGTGGGAGTCTGGTCTGAGCAGTCCCACACTCTTCCCCCTCCCCTGGCTGCACCCACTCTCTCCCCCTGGCCAGCACCAGAGCTCATGCACACCCAGCAGGTGCTGACTGAGAAGAAACCTCATTGCCCTCTAAATTTCCTTTTTGGGCTCCTGGAGCTGATTACCCCCTTTGGGTTTGCCTTGTTTGGACGTTGGTGAGGTCACTGTCCTGGTGCCCACATTTCCATGCCCTGTTGCAGGCTCCCTGTTCCTTAGGGAACAGCTGCTCCCTAACACCTGCAGAGGGGCAGGGGCATGGAGCTGTGGGCAGGATGGAAAATAAGACCACCTCAGTGTAGATTAGGCCAAGCCAGACTTTATCACAATGAGTGGTTTGTTTCAAAGCAATTTTGAAGCAAATTACTTGATTGTCCCTACTTAAAACCTGGGTAGCTTTTTTTGGAGGAAGCTCAACCAGAGGCTCTGCTTGAAATTCAGTCCAAATTCCCTCCAGTTCCTGATGGGACCAAAGCAGGGTGCAGCTGTGATGCCCTCCAGCAGCCACCAAACACTGATGCACCACCAGAGTGCTCTCAAGCACCCAGAGCTGCCACAGCACTCTGAAGTGGTTCCTGGGCTATGCAAAGCCCCAGGTTCCATCTGACTCTACCTGCCTTCAGGCTTTTTGTACTTCTGCTCCTTCCCTGCTGCTGCATTTTTGTCTTTGTTCAAAATCCAGATTTTTGGCACTTCCAGGGCAGTGCAGCTGAGGTGCCTGTTACAGATTGCTTGAAGAGATCTTTGGGTTGGGCTACACCACCAAGCTTGTGCTCCTTTGGATTTCTGCACCTTGAACCATCATGCAAGAGAGTCTGGAGCTGTAACACTCCCATTCTGTAAGGGAGGAACATCTTATCATGCTCATATAAATATAATGAAAATATTAAAGATTCTTAGAACAAACCTGTATCAATCCCAATTTCATTTCAATCTCCATTTTCACCTGGGGACATAGGGCTGTGCTGGTAGGGTTTGGGTGCAGATTCAAATAAGGGAAGGGAACAAAGAGCTGAGATTAATTCCACAGAACAGATTCTCACCAAGCATCATTAAAATGATCAGATGGGGACTGAACTCACATGAACTCTGACAGTTGCTCTTCAGTGTCAGCCCTTTCACAAACAATTCCTGTTTGGATGGGAAAAAAACCAAGGAAACAGTGTAGAATTGATAATGTGTTTTATTAACTCTTAAATGTTTAATCCTGTAAACCTTCCTGAAACCTCGTGAAAGGGCAGAGTAGCCTTTGAAATACACTGTCATAAAAGGCAGGGAAAGGTTCTCATGAGTTCCCCCAGCTTGTTGTTCTGCTTAGAGGCAGGATTGTTGTTAGAAATGTTTGTCTGACCTGTCTAAACTTTCTAGGTAGCCTCAAGTCCAAAGCTAGCCTTAGATTTATGCTTCCCCCCCATCCAACCTAAATCTTTCTGTCTGCAAATTAAGCCAATTTCATCCTTTGCATCCTCTTTGTAATGACGTGAGCACAGTGGAAGCCTGGTTTGTTTTCTTTTTTTCAGCATTCTTTTTCCAACTTTTCCTCTCAGTGACCTTTTCTCCTCTACTAATTCTTCTTGCTCTCTTTAGGATTACCTTAAATTTGTGCATATTTTGTTTTGAAACACGGTATGCCAACTTGGACACAAAATGCCAGCACCAGCAAGAATGGAATAATTATTTCAGAGGTGGGTTGTCTGTAAAACAACCAAACAAATCAATCCCCCCTGTGGTGCAGCAGCACTGAATGTATATTTCTAGGCAATGTGGGTAAAAGTTTATTCCAAACCTCTCTTTCTTAATAACTGCTTGCTTCTGATCCCCCTGTAACTTCTGTCTATCCCAGAAACTTCCTCAGATCTGATTCCCTCTGCCTCTTTGGTAATGTGCCAGCACAGGTTATCTAAGGACATACCTTGAATTTTCACTGATGTTAACAAGGTGTAGATGGTCTGGAGTGCCTGTTTTCTATTTGAAAACAATGCCAAAACTATGTAACATTTTCATTAACGACCTGGGTGATGGACTGAGGACAACAAATCCATGCTCTTCCCAGTGGTGTCCATTGACAGGATTGAAATACAGGAAAGTCCATTTAAACCTTTCTGACTGTGATGGTGATCAAATATCAGAACAGGGTGGCCACATAAGTTGTGGAGTCTCCATTGCTGGAGATATCCCACACCCAGCTGGATATGGTCCTGGGAAACTCGCTGTGCCGATGCTGCTCTGAGCAGGAGCTTTGGTCTCGACTGTCTCCTGTGGTGCCTTCCCACTTCAAAACCCCTGTGGTGCTGTGATGTTACACATGTCAGAGCTGTTAGCACAGCCCTGGTGACACTGGCCTTTCAGTGGGTTGACATGTGATCAATCTGTGCTGCCCTTTGAACCTCGGATCCCTTCCTGAGGAACTACAGCCTGACCAATTACTCTCTGAATTTTACTGGTGTCTTTCTTCTAACATGTAACTGATCTTTAATTCCTTCTCGTTGACTTTATATCTTCCCTTCAATTTTAAGGCTGTTTGAAATTCTATCCCTGTCCTCCCAACTCCACACAAGTTGCCTCAGCTTACTGTCCATCATCCACAAATTTTGTGTGTTCTCTGTTTTGTCCTCCAAATTGTTAATATTGAACAATATCTCACCCTAGGATGGTCTCATCCTCCTCCTTTTCCTTCTCCCTTGTCATCCTTGAAATGTCTCCTGATTTTATCAGTGATAATTCATGTTGGACATGTTTTTAACTGCACTCCAGAGCACTGGTCTTTAACCTGCCTGTAGGCAACAGTACAGAGAAAGTGTCTCAGTTTAAACTCAGGTGGTCACCAGCAAAATGTTGTGTGTGAGCCAAGACAGCCACATCTAAGTCATCCTATGATAATCTGAGGAGAATGGATTTCCCACTAGGAATGGGGAAAACCAACAAAGCTGGTTTCTGTGCAAGAGCAAATCCACTTGGATTCCTAAAGGGAAGCCCATGGCTTGCACCAGAAAAGACTCCA